CCAGCCGGACTTGAACCGTTGACCTTGACTGTGGGGGCATGGGAGCTTAACCGCTAAGCTATGGGACCCATACCCTAGCTAAGTTAAATTTAACACTTCACAAAACTATAAAAGGATAGTAGATCACATTAAGTTAGTATTGCTTAATGTCTTAAATTAATACTAGGATTATCCAACTCATGAATTTCTTTTATTAATAATTTTTAATTTTTATAATAAACAAATAAAGTTTACTACAAATAATCAAAGATTTGAAGCTAAAACCTATTTAATAAAAAAATATAAAAAATTTCAAAAATCAAAGTTAATAACACTTAACAAAAATTCTTTTTGATAATCACTTGAACCAAACTTTTCAAAAAGCTGAACTACAGTAAAATAATATAGTTAATATATTAAACTTTATGAAAATCTTTTTGGAGTACTGTACATGCATTGTTGGACATTAAAATAGAGTTAAAAAAAATTACAGCCTTGTAGTAATAGTTTAAAAAGTACTCTGGAACTATAGAAGAAATAATTAGCAAAAACCAAGATTTCTTATTAAGTAAACAATAAATTGAATATATTAGTTCTATACAACTATAAAACCTATAAAGAACACCTATAAGAATTCAGAATTCACAAAAGCTAAAAGTTGGTTTACCTAGTACTTCCACTTTTTTTTGAGAAAAATTTTATAAAAGTAGGTGATTCAGTTTATCTTCTCCTAAAGATGAATACATAAAATTACTAAAACAGTCAGCAGTATTTACTTTCTAAATAAAATTGTTGACGATGTGGATCAGAAACAATACAGTGATACAAACATGACTATATATATGCCTTGAGCTGCTAAAAACCTGTCAAATACTGCATTTAGACTAACCAGTATCCTATACTAACCCTCTATAATAAAATCAAAATTTTTTCTTCTTTTTGGTTTTTTGTTTAAAAATCTATATAAATAAAAAGATAATAGAGTAATTTCTATTTAGTATAATTTATAATTTTTACAAGCCTGATATAGGCTTATAATTGTAGTTGTCTAATATCTGTGAATTGCAAGTTTCATATCTGATACAGGCTTATCATGATCGTTTGATTTTTTTATGTAAATTGTAAATTTCACATTTTTCTTTTTTTTATTTATTTTTTTTTCTCCTTTTATTTCCTGTTTTGTATCTTTTATTATTTACTCCTATATTTCTGTTTTTTTTTATATATAAAATCATTTTTGTTTTTTTGCTTATTTATAAGAAGACATCATTAGATTGGTAGTATCTTATTGTAGGATAGCAGTTAGACAAGCAGCTTACCTCTGTTTAAAATAGTATGACAGGTTATACTTAAATATCAATAAGGTAGCCAGGTGATGCTAAACTTAGTTATTAGAAAAATTCTTTGTAATTTGTATAGTTTCAAGAATTGTAATAAAGTACTAGTATGACTGCTTAAGTTAAAAAAAAAAAAGTTAATAACACTTAATACAACACTGATAGATGATAATAAGAAAGAAAAAAATGTATTATTAATCACTATGTATATATCTGTTTAATATTTTGAAACAAATAAAGAAATTCAACTTTATCTTGTATTTTTAAAACTTTCAAATGCACAATGTTTACTAAAATGATGGAATAGTCAAAAAATAATTTGCCAATATTAAGTAAAATAGTACACAAATATTTATAGGTTTCTGCTACTTTGACAGCCAGTAAAAATCTTTTCAATGATGCAAGAAACCTTATAACTATAAAACATAATTGTTTAAATGTAGACTTATTTAAGTGAATGTTGTTCCTTAAAAGAAACATAAATTATGTTGAAACAATGTTTTCTCAAGAAAATAGGTTTATATTTGATATATAATGTAATATGCATAAAATATAACTCATATAATTGCAAAATATGTACTTAAATTAGCAATATATTTTTATGTTTTGGTTAAATATAAAATATATAAATAAAATTTATATTTGCGGTATTACAGTCAGATCCCCCTAAATGCTACCCCTCTAAATGCACGCCTATGAAAAACCTCCCTAAATGCACGTCTTCTCTTGGGCCCAACTTATATTACACCTATAGATTTTTACCTCCCTAAATGCAATACCTCTCTAAATGCACGTTTTGCTAAATTTTTACAAATGGTCCCGTCACATTGCATTTAGAGAGGTCTGACTGTATTAAATATTTTATTTCATACAAATTTTCAATAGATTCACCGGATTCATCAGATTTAATTGGATAGTTTATGATCAGATGTAAAAATCCAGCGGATTGAGCTAACGGATAGTCGGATATCCGCGGATCCAAGCACTACTCTTTGGCTAATTTTACCATTGGACAGTTTTTTAATTCCAGCCAAAATTATGTATGATCACAGCTGTTGGCCAATCAAAATCGAGGATCATCCACGCATTTTTGATCTAAATAGAAGTAACGCGAAAGACTAATGTAGGATACTAAAAAACAATGAATGAACAGAATGAACATTTGTTTAGTCAACTAGTAAAATTTTCTGACATTTATCATATTGCAAAAACTTCTTTTGTAAGTCAATGGAATATTGAATATTTACAAACTTCTATTCAATGCGCTTTCGACGTCGAAAATGCCTTATTTATGATATCCGATGAAGAAGCCGAACTTTTACATAAAAAACTAGTTTCAAAAGCAAAAGCAGAACGTCGCGTACTGCCTCCACCTTTACCCGAATTTCAGTGTGCATATCATTTATTTTATAGAACTTTATTAAGAAACATTTATTTGCCAAGTGAATTATCCTTTTATGTTTTGAATACTTATGAATTTCTGAACTATGGTCTATTTTCAAAACAAGAAAATATTGCTGAGGTATGATCCCATGATTCCTTTTCCTTACACTATAGCTTATAACTTAAACGTAAATTTACCATAGGATGTACAAATGTTCGCCAAACCTTTAGCAATGGCCGATGTCCTGGCTGGAATTCAAGTAGCTTTATTAGAAGGATTATCTCAGATAAAATCTCACAATAAGGAACAAGTTCCTCGTATGTGTAATTTTGCAATGAAATTATTAAGATCTCTCTGTGTATAATTATTTCTATATTATATTATAGGTATGACCGCGCTGAAACATGAATATTCTTATAAACTTTTGCATACAACTATCACAAGACGTGCTGCAGCTAGATTACTTTTAAAAGATTTTGCCAAATTCTTTAATGATGGACAAATTGACTCAGATGGTATTGACCAAATTAGTAACGTCTTACATCATTCAACTCGATCATCTGATGGAATGGTGAGAAGAATTATTATCTATATGTCGAACCTTTTTGTATCCCTATTTCACATATGTTATATTTGAGGATATGTTTTTATTAGGAGATCATCATCCATGCAGCGATATTATCGTTTCAGCCAAATGAAGGGGATTTGCAAATTTCTTCCGAATTGAACCTTATTTTGCTTAATTGGATCACTTCATTTGCTAACATCGATACGAGTCAACAATTATTAAGTTCAACAACTTCCTTAGAATCTGGTGTCTGGCAGTTACATCCTTGGTTATTATCTCGACTCTCTTTTATCCATCATCCATTTTTTGAGATTTATTCACAAATGTTAATTCAATGCACACGACGAGAGCAACAACATATGTATGACAATTTTTCGTCTTATTCAAAAAGACTTTATGATTCGAACTTGAATGATACTCATCGAAGGCTTAAGAGCTTACTTTGTCATTGGGAGTTGTTACATCAACAATTTAGAGACGGAAAAAGGCTTGTTACTGATCTATTACAGCAAGAATGGTTCATTTTCAAAGGAAGGTATGACCAGCGTAAAGAAAAAGGTTCTGAATTGATGTTTACACAAATTTGGATAAAATTCTTTTTAGAGCTGGGTGTATGTATTGATTGATAATACATCGGATACAATCTCTATTTAATTGCTGTTAGAATATCTAGTCTACAAGCAATAATCAAGTATAATGTTTTTGTTTTATGCATATCCATTAATACACTTATGTAATGGCAAAAAGAAAAAAAAAAAAAAAAAAAAGGAAAGAAAAAGCCATTTAAAAAATTAAACAGAAAACATTAAACATAGTCACAGTATGGGTAATGTACATTATGACATAAAAATTTATCCTGTGTACACTAAATTTTGCTACAATAATCTGGTATGATTAAGAGCGTATTCCTTGAGTCAAGTTTTTAACTATAACCAGGATTCATGTCTTGACCGATGTAATGAGATCTTCTACCACGTCGACGTTTGCGTCTCGTAATATATTCTTAAAGGATTCACTTTCACGAAGCTCAATCCAATTTTGTTTAGCAAACCGATAAACTGCTTTCCGTAAACGTACAAGGTCACGTTCCCAAGCAAATAGAAGCAGATTATCCCAAGTGTTCATTTTTATCAAGTTAATTAATTCCGAAATGACAACTTCAACAAGCTCATGTATTGCATCTATTTCGAGTGTTTTACGCATTTCTGCGTCGATAAATATTTTTTTAAGCTGTGTAATTTTGGCAGAAACTGTGTCTCCCGTAATTTCCAGTAAAGTACCCGAATATAAGTAATGTAAAACGTAATAAAATGTATTATAATCTACATCCTGAATATGTACTGGCTTTGATTCTTTGATTTCTTGCGTCCAGTCATTCTTTATCAATGTCTTGAAGTAATGAGATCTCTCCGCCAATATAACCTGATGTGCAAGAATTGTTCGTCCTTCAACCAAGAATTTGATGTCACTAAAATTTGGTGTATTTAAAGTCTGTGAAAACGCCGTCCACGCTGTTCGTGAATTTAATGTTAATCGTGCCATTGACTCCTCTAATTCATCTGGCATACCGGTAGGATTTGGCGTGATTATCACAACATGAACAACAAGGGTATCATCTTCTAAAACACTCCCTGTTCGCTGAATCATTTCTGGTAACAGTATTTCAGGTTCTTCTGTATTATTAGCATTGTTATTTCCTTCACAGTTTAGAACCGTTTTTGAACAAAAACTTGGCCATCCCCAAGCTGGTTTTACCTTCAAAAATTCATGACGTTCACTATAAAAAATTTTTACAGATTATTCAAAAATTGTGTTTCAAAAGACATGTCCATTGATTTCAACTAACTTACCTTCGACGTTTTACTAATTTCAAGACCCGGTTTTCCCCTTGTTGAACAGGAACATAAAAACCAATATAGAAATTCACGTTGATTCGTGAAGAAGGTTGTGCGTCAATTGGAAATATAGTTTCTAGATAACAGCTGATGCTATTTTGGGAACTTTCACTATTGCCGTTAGGATGGAATTTTAATCTCCAATTCAAAGGTATGTAGGAACATCCGTTGTCGTCGAAAACACAAATGTTGCATGTCCACTGAGGACTATGAAAGCATTGAGGCCTTGGTGCTAAGGCTTCTATTTTTTTAAAATTCGGTATAATCCAAGTAAAATTGTGAATAATACTACTTCCAACCTGAGATTCTGTTTCGTTACGCATTTTTAAAAGTATAATTATACAGAAATACAGAAATTTTGCAGTTAAAAACTGTATAATGTGTATAATGTCTTATTAACTGTCACACGATTTGTCACGCAGATCACAAAATAAATAATTTTTTTTCATGGCGAATGATCTTCGCACCTAAATTTCATAATCCTGTAATTTGCAGAAGGGCTTCCTGACCCTTATTCGGAAGAAGTGTTTGTATATTAGTAGATTTATTTGTGTCAAGTGATACGGAAATAAATTAACACGCAAATCAAATGATGACAAACGTTTAAGAAGAAATACTTTACGGACTTGGTACCTTTTGCTATAATTCGTAGTATACAAATTACTAACTTTATTAATATTTACAAAACTATATTTAATTAATATAATTTATATAATTTAGAGCTAATTTAATGCAAAATTGATGTTTCGGTTCTCAACGATAACATAAAATTTTAAACATGACCCGGAAACGCAAAAATACTATTCCTGATGGATCGTCGGTACCGTTCCTGATAGGATAAAAAAAAAAACCGATCTGCATACTGTTCTTGATAGGGTCATACCGTTCCTGATAAGTCCCTAAAAAAAAAGGCCCAGTAAATATAACTCGGGTTTAGTAATAATAATAACGATTTCAATATCTGAATATTGTAAGATATTGTATATTTTAAAAATGCTATACGTAGTCGTGTAGTTATTATTTAGATGTACGTACACACATACAGTGTTATGATTGATATATAGAACATTCCTAAAATTTCGTATAATAGACTGGTAAACCGACTATTCAGGTTGGTTATTAACCAATATAAAGGGTTTATAACCGCCTGAGAAAGCAGAGAGCCAATGGGGAAGTTAATAACTGCCAGGAGGAGTATCTAACCAACAAGTAAAGAAAAGTTATATAAACAATACCTTTCTGAAACTCGAGAGAATAAGTTGGATAACAAGTAGGCTAAAAAATAATACAGTCAACTCTCTCTATTCCGAATGGTCCGTTCTTATATGCAAAATGCAAAAATATCAAAAAGTTCAGTTTTCAAAGAGTTATTATGTTGCTAATCTGAACTTTTTAATAAAATTTACAACTGTTCTAAAGCTTTGTGTTCGGTTTTTACAGAGTTTATTAAGGGTTCGGATTATCCAGGTTCAGATTTGGGAGAGTTGATTGTATTCTTGATGTTCATAGTAGTCATTTGCATAAATAATGATATTAGTATAGTTTTAGTTGGTGTTATTTTCATAATTCTACTTATTTTAATAAAAATTTGATTAGTTTCATATAATAAAAGTCTTTATAAATTCTAATTTGACCCTAGAGAAAGATAAAATAAAATTAATAATGTTTTTTTTTATTAATCATAACATCAATAAATTCACATATATATTGTGTCTTATAATGATGTGAGCTTCAACTGACAGCTGACGCATCTCAGATATCAATCATCAGATAAGATGCCTTAGATAATTAATTGATATCTGAGATGTGTTGACTGTCATATAATGTAATTATTAAAATATACAAATATATAAAATTATTTTATTTTATTTTTATTTTTTTTTGATGTTAAAGTGATCTTTTTGGTCTTTTGACTTTTATTAATCACTTATTGGTATTGTGGTTTAATGAACCACTATAAGAGAGTGTACAATTGGCTACATATGTAATTATTTTATATTATTTATTTAAAGAGTTTGCTCAAAGGTTCTTTATCAATTACTATACTTAACACTACTGCTTGGGTGTTTCACTTTAAACTTTCTGAACCTATAACCTATGTTAACTCACTGGGTTATATTCAGATGCTCAGATCATTGTCTCAATCTTAGAACTAATTTATCCTTAAGATAAATTTTTTAGAGCCTTCTGTATTCATTTTTACAGTTAATCTAGATATTGCTATAGCAGAACTAACACTTATAATCAGGGTTTAATCATTAAATCACTATGTTCTTGTAAAATTTATTCAAACTCTAGCATCTATTTTATAACATAATTCTAGTACTTTAGTATATCTTTGAATTTTGTCAGACTTCCAATTCAGATAACCTATATAGGATTACAACCAGTTCATTAGTATATTAGATTAGTTTAATATATTTTTTTTAATTTGTTCTGGCAGTCTGATTGGTAGTATCTTTGAGACTTTCAACTCAGAGATTCTTACCTGTTTAGTTAGTAAGACCTAGGTATCTATTTCCTCAAGCTAGTCTTTACAATAATACTGTCAAGATCTAGCTATTTTTCTGCAAAATTAATATTTGGTCTATTCTATAAATCAAATATAATATATTATTAAATTATATACTAAATATTCAAATCTAAGTAAGTTTTGATTACTTTAATAGATTTAGAACATAGATTAATTAGTCTGAATATTTATTCTTACATATAATTTTTAATTTATTTGTTTTGTACAAATAGTAGTAGCTATATAGTTAGCAGTTTAATAGTTAGTTTTAACTACAAATATTGGCTTCAGTTATAGTATATATATATATAATTATTTTAAATTATTAATAAAAATATAAACAAGACCTTATTTTAATACCAAAAAAACATCAAAAATTTTTATATAAAAATATATAATGATTGGTAACCTATTAGATATATATTGATATTAATCATCTCTACTGAGTTATATTAATTTTGGTATAAACTGATATATAACTAGCTTTAAACAATCAATATATATCTAATAAGGTTATCAATTAATATATAACTAGTTTAATTAAGTATTTTTTTTTAATAAACAATATTACTAATAAGATATTTATAAAACATATATTTTTTATAAAGCTAATTACAATACATAATATAAATTTATTATTACTAAAATTGTATAATCATATTATAATACAAATTATAAAATTTATTATAATTTATTATATAATAACAGCTAGCAAATATAAATTAATTTAAAAAAAAACATTTAAAACAAAAATTTAATCATTGCAACCAAATAAGTTATTAGCATCCTTCTGTGAAAGTTTTATTTAATATTAAGATGATTACTAAAATGATGAAAAACCTGCTTCAAATTCATACTGAGACAACATTTGTCTTGAACAATTATAATTCTCATTGTTTAGTATTAATTTGGTTGTTTCATATGATGGACCACTATTACTAAAATTATTCTATATTAAAAAATAATTAATTAATTACTATTAATAAAGCATATATAATATTTTTCAAATTCACAACTCTTTCCAATGATCATTTGAACCAAACTTTTCAAAAAGCTAAACTACAGAAAAATGATATAGTTAATATATTAAACTTTATAAAAACTTTT